TTTTGTAGGTCCTGTAGTTTAGAATGCTTTGTGGGCCTCCCTCGTGGCGCAGTGGTTGAGAGTCCGCCTGCCGATGCAGGGGACACGGGTTCGTGCCCCGGTCCGGGAGGATCCCACATGCCACGGAGCGGCTGGGCCCATGAGCCATGGCCGCTGAGCCTGCGCGTCCGGAGCCTGTGCTCCGCAATGGGAGAGGCCACAACAGTGAGAGGCCTGCGTACAGCAAAAAAAAAAAAAAAAAAAAAAAAAAGAAAGAATGCTTTGTACATTTTTAAAGGGTTGTAAAAGCAAACAAACAAACATTGGTGAAAAGGAAGAATAAGCTAGAGGCATATGTGGCCCTTATAGAAGAAGTTTGCTGACCCCATTTTTTGGCCTTTGCTCTAATGCAGAGGTCAGCAAAAACTATGCCAACCACCCAATCCAGATGGCTGCCTGAGTTTTGTAAGTAAGGCTTTATCGAAACGTAGACACACACACACATGCTTTTTTAAAATTTACTGTCTATGGCTGCTTTGGTGCTACAATGGCAGAATTTAATAGTCATAACAGAGCAAAGCCAAAATATTGACTCTCTGATCCTTGATAAGAAAAGTTTGGCTGTGCTTCCTTGGACAATACATGGTTCTCCAATGATACACAAATTTATTCCTCCTGGGAAGATCTTTTACTTTTCCTGTCTCTATTTTTCCTTCTGTTTCTTTTGCCTGGTTTATCCCATTTTTTCCTTCCTGTCATCCATAATTCTTTCTCATATTTTTCATCCTTTTTAACTCTTTCTTTCTCCATTAAATAGCCGTACCATGGAACTAAAATATAATATTTTAAAAATAATTTATCAAATGAAATTTTAGACTCCTCCTTAAATCTAAAGTGAAACTATACCTCTTTTTTTCTCACCACCTCCAATGCTCTAAGAGCCTAAAATTACTTGGAAGTCACTTTTCACTATGTTGTAAACATGTCTGTGGGTCAGTGACCCTTAACGAAAAGGACCTCTCACCTGAGAAATGAGAATCAGGGGTCCAGTTAGTTGCCTTCCCTTTTCCAAGCAAAACAAGGAACATTTATTGACATTTCGGTAAGTGAGAATTGAGAAAGTGACTTAATATAATCTGCTTTGAATGGCTCTTTACTTCCACTGGTATGTACATAAAGCAGTGTGAAGTTGAGATTGACTACTAAAAGTATAATGTCAGCATTTTAAATATAAGTGTATAAGTACAATGTGATATAGATGATATCATAAATATAAAGTGTAATGTCGGCATTTTTAAAACCACAATTCCCAAGCAGTGAGGAGATTTACAAGGACATGTTTTCTGTCCCTCTCCCCTCTGCTGATTCTCTTTTGTCTCCCTAATCCCATCGTAGTCTCCTTTATTTTATCATTTACCCGTGTACATGTTTTAAGTGTCATTTTTCTCAAAATGCCATCCTTGATCCTCTTCTCTTCTATGTCTACATTCTATGAGCGTTCTCATCTACTCCTCTCATTTTAACTACCAGCTAATGATTCCCAGTCCATAACTAGAACTGTAGACGTTACACGTATATACGCATAACATATATATTAAATTGTCATCTCTAGTTCAGTGATATTGGGTTGAACTCAACACAGCATCTCCCAGTCCACCCCATAAATTTATTTCTACATTCTTCCTCATCAAGCATAAACTTAGGAAACAACCCACACTCCTTTACCCCTATTTTCAATCAATCTTAATTTTTTTTTTTTATTGCATGGGGGAGGTATACTGGTATCTGCAACTTACATTGAAATACATAAAAATGATAGATAGATGAAAGGATTGAGAGATGGATAGATGAATAGGTATGTGATAAAGCAAGCATAATAAAATTTTAATTGTAGAATTAGGTGGTGGCTATACGTGTACTGACTGTAAAGGACTTTAAACATTATTGAATGTTTCAAATTTTTTCACTAAATGTGTTAAAAAATATTCTTTCAATTTGCCCCCAAAATATCTTTAGTGACTGCTACTGCTTTAGCCTAAACTCTCATCATCTCTTACCTAAACTATCATGTTTGTCCCTGTTGGGTACTCCTAAAGGCAAGTTCCCTAAAATGTTGCTACTCACAGTGTGGCCCACAGACTGGTGAGCAGCCAGCACATCACCTGCGAGCTTATAGGAAACACAGGTCCCACCAGACATACTGAATCAGAATTCACAGTTAAGAAGATCCCCAAGTAATTTGTATAAACTTTGAAGTGTTGAGAAGCTCAGCTCTATATGGTAACTCTATCCTACATCATTCCCTTGCCTCAAACCCTTCAGTGGTTTCCCATTGCTTACAGGGTGATATCTAAGACCCTCAGAGTGGTTGCCTGTTGTGAACATTTTGAATATTTCCAGAGCACATGTGTTGTGTCTCATTCTGACTCCCCCTTCTCTGACACTCTCCACATACCTTAACTCAACCTAACTCTGTCCTGTTTGTCCTTCAAGATAATTTAGTCCACATTGCTTTCTTACTACTTTGGCAATATCTTTATTGTAGCCCTGTATTTTACATTTTTTTGAAATAAGAAGGTATCTGTTAGTTTTCCCACTAGGCTGTGAACCTCAAAAAACAGAAAATGTATCTTATTCATGATTCTATTCCCAAGTATTTGCACAGTTCTTGTTGCAGATGTGAGCTATTTAACAAATGCTTATTGAACTTAACCCAAAAGCAGCTGACTATCCCTGCAGGTATATAGTTCAATGTGGAGTGGTGGTTCAGAAAGAGATTGCTAAAAGATAAGCAAACAAGTGAAACCATTTTTTATTTTATTATAGCTACACTCATTTAGCTATATCTACCTATCTACTTTAAGATAGGTAGATATAGTAGCTACCTATCTATATCTATGTTCCAGATTCTGAATTTATTCATAAAAGACAGCTATTTCATTAAACATGTGTATTCTGAGTTCAAATGAAAAAGCCATACAAATTCACTCACTATGTATTTACTGAATGTCTATTAGAACAGGGCTAGTCTTACTGAGATGTAATATTGCTTTTGTTGCACTTAAAGAGGTCTTCTAAGTGCTTGTTTTCCAAAAGTTATAGAAATGATATTTCATCAGTTTTCATGCATAATAGATGAAAATACAATGTCATATTTACCAACAAAAGCAATGAAATGTCTTTTAGATATTCATTAGGCAATCAGTCACCCGTCAACAAAGCATAATTCAAATCTCATTTTGACTTTTGCCTGTGAGATTATTACAACTAAATAGAAAATCAAATGTTTTGGGTATATACGTTTTAGTAGAGTAAATCAGAGCTGAAAGTAAAAGAACAAAAAGACTAACAATTCCTATCCTGGACCATGAAAAAAAATTCTTACAGTTTAAACCCTAATCCCATTCACCCTCCAATAAAGAGCAGTTTTTAGCCATATTAGTAGTATAATAAGATATATTTAAAGTTTTTTAAATTTAAGTATGTTGGCAGAATTCATCTAACTTTGAAATAATATTTTAGATGCCAATCACATAGAAGTAAGTAAGCTAATTATCATTTTATATAGAACGAAGAAACTGAGAAATGGAGATTCTTCCTTCCAACCTCCTTCTTTCCACAATATTTATTGAGTGGTTATACTGAGGAAAACATTGTGCTGTGCTAGGCTCCAGGGATTCAAAGATAAAGCATTCCTTTATTCATTCCACAAATATTCAGCACCTTCTACATGCCAGGCACTGTTTGAAGCCTTAGAAATACAGCAGTTAGTGAACAAAGCACCTGTGCTCTTGGAGTTCATATTCTAGTGCGTGAGACAGACAAGTAAACAAATGGGTAAGGAGGACAGTTACAGACAGGTGCTCTGAAAAGTAAAAGACAGGGTAATGGTATGGAGTATACAATGTTGGAGAGTGGGGCAAGGATGACGGGGTAATAGTATAGAGTATATAAGGTCGGGGAGCAGGGCAAGGATGGTATTTTAGGTAGAATAGCCAGGAAAGTCCACTCTGAGAATACAGCATTTGAACAGAGCACTGAAAACGCTGAAAAAGTGAGCAATTTGAAGATTGGGAGAGGGGAGAGGTGTTCCAACCAGAGGGAACAGCAAATATAGAGACTCTAAGATGAGACTGAGCTTGGGGTGTTTTCAGCAAGGAAAAAGGGAAGTTGCAACGCAGGGCACCAGGTAGAGTGTGGTAGGACGAAAGGTCTGGAGGGGAGGCATGATCTGAGGATCCTTTGATGAATTTGGATTTTATTTAAAATTGGCTGGGAAGCCACTCAAGAGATTTAAGCAGGGAAAGTCTGTGAAATGATTCTCTTCTTAGATCACTCCAACTACCATGTGGAGAAGGAACCATAGAGAAACAAATGGAAGCAAAAAGTTTGGTTAAGAGGCCATTACAACAGTTCAGGAAATAAATAATAGTGTCTTAGATTTCTCTCCACCTAGGTAGAGAGAACTGGTTAAATTGGAGATATATTATAAAGGTAAAGCTGATAGGATTTGTATTGGATTTAGATTTAAGGGAATTGAAGGAGAATAGTCAAAGAAGACTCCTGTGTTTAAGTGACTAGTAAATAGTGAGTTAAGATAGTAAGTGTAGGCAGAAGTTTGTGGGAAATTGAGATGATATAAGATGCCCCTTAGACATCAAAGTGGAAAAGTCAGGCAGGCAGTTTGATATGTACAACTGGAGCTCAGAAGACAGGTCAGGGCTGGAAGAACAAATTTCGGAGTAATTCACACATAGATGACATTTGAAGCCTAGGGGCTGGATGACATCAGCTAAAGAAGAAATAAATAAAATAAGGCTTAGCACTGACCCAAGTCATAATATCTAGAGCCAATGAGAAAGTTTGAGAAGGTGCAGCCAGTGATATAGGAAGAAACCCAGGAAGCAGATCAGGTTTCATGGGCACGTTACACAGTGCTTGGCACTCAGAAGGGCCCCAGACTTGGTTGCTAAGCTGCTACCAATTCTTACTTATTTTATCTTTGAACTTGTGTTTTGTAGGTGAAGTCTGATGGGACAATGGAGCATGCCAGCGAGGAGAGACGATACACACATTGACACCCCATTCATATTCCTGATGCCCCATGAGCACAGAGTTCTAGGGGACCCATGATGCATTGGGTGTTCAATGAGGCTCCAATCAAGTACATGTAAGTATATTACACCAACAACAGAGCAAGTGGTGGTGTTGGTGCTGACAGCCTTGAGAGGCGGTGCTTTCTGTTCAAACCAGAATTTGCTTTTAAAACAGACAGAAGGCAATGGTGATCTAAGAAGCATGAACAACCAAAGAACCCTATCCGACCCTTTCTTACTTATGTTACTGCTGTGATTGAATTGGGTCCTGCTGCTTGCTGCTTACAAAATCAGTTACATACTAACAAACGGTAGAAAGGAAAGGTAGAAACAGTAGAAAGGAATGCCGGCAGTCTGCGGAGACGGTGGACTCAAGTGTTCCCCAAAAACCGCCTCTGAAGATTCTGCTCGGCCATGAAAGTTTTAAAGGAAAGGAAGGAAGCAATCTCATTTAATCATCGAGATGGGGGTCAGAGTCATTCCCCACTGTGTGCAGGCTTGTCACTCGTGATCTTCCTCTAGATGTCATCTTGTTCATAGAACTTGGTCACACAGTTTGTTTGGAAGATTACCGAAGGGGAAGCTAGGGAAGACATCTTGTTATCTGTTAATTACTTATTCTTCATTTCTACTTCTTTGATCTACGGAAAGAAGTGACCAGTTAGGGAAGGTATTTTTTTATGTATATAAATTTATTTATTTGTTTTTATTTTTGGCCGTGTTGGGTCTTCGTTGCTGTGTGCGGGTTTTCTCTACTTGCGGAGAGCAGGGGCTACTCTTCGTTGCGGTGCGCAGGCTTCTCATTGCGGTGGCTTCTCTTGTTGCGGAGCACGGGCTCTAGGCGCGTGGGCTACAGTAGTTGTGGCTCGCGGGCTCTAGAGCGCAGGCTCAATAGTTGTGGCGCACGGGCTTAATTGCTCCGTGGCATCTTCCCGGGCCAGGGAAGATGCTAGGGCCAGAGATGAGTAGAGCATGGAGGTGCTTGGTTTAAAAGTTAGTTACAATATAGTTTTGTTAAAGTGACAAGAAAAGGGGCTTCCTGCTGAGGGTCGTTTGCTGCAAAGAGCTGCTTACATTACCTCCCTGTATTAGCCAACCACTCACCCTGAAAAGGGAAATGTAGAAGGAGCGGGAAAGATAGAGGAGCCCATAGAGACTTTTCCTTTCTCATCCATAAGCCAAAGATAGAGAGTATTGATAGAATGCATGCATCTCAAGAAGTGAAATAAAAATAATTAGATTTGTCTTGTGCAGCACTTCCACTGTTCTGGAAAAAATTAAAAATATATATGCGTGCATGGGCTACAAAATATGAATTGTGTAATTCAAACGAGTTAAATGCTCTTATATTTTCATTAAATCTGGCATTGCATAATGTAAATTTGAATGGTAAAATTCATGTCGATAATTTAAATTCTAAATTTTTCTTTATTTATGAACAACATAGAAAGCAAATTTTAAAAAAATGACAAGTTGAGGGAGAGACAGTGGAAGAAAGGAAAAAGCTTTATAATTTACTACCTTAGGGCGTTTTTTCCTTGCTTTTTGAACAAGGGAGCCCACATTTTCATCTTGCTCTGAGCTCACAAATTATGTAGCTGGTGCCACCAGAAGAATATGGTGTCCTGGAGTCCAAGTGAAGAAAGTGCTTCCAGGAGGAGGGAGGGATCTGTGAACTATGTCAAATGCTGCTGAGAATTGAGTGAGATAAGGACAGAAAATCAATCATTACCTTTGGCATGGAGACTATCCAGTTAAAGTCAATTCTGTCAGAGATGGTGAAGTATATGTGTATAATAATTTAACATTAGTAAAAATAAAGGGGGAGATTTATACACTCATTTTTATCTGTGATGTTTTCTTTTAAATATATTAGCTTTATTCTAATTATGTTTCAAGAATAAATTAGCATTTGTTCAATGATAAAGTGGAATCGCCCTAAAACTGAAACAACTTAAGAACTATAATTAAATTATTACTGTTTATATCTTCTGTTGTGGCAGGTTTAAAAATGTTATTTTATTTTTCGTTCTCTTTATTTTCTTTCTGTTTTTATTTTTCGCCTTTACTTTCAAGATGCCTACACAAAATGGAGTAAATTATAATTAGATCAAATTGGCACAAAAAAAGTTTGTTAAATAAAAACATGTATGTTTCCTACTTTGCTAGGAACATAAAAAAATGTAGTTGTAATACAACGACCAAAACCCTGCCCTCTTCCTTATTATCATTACCGTAAAAATACAATTTTTGAGTTTCTGTAGTACCTGAAGTCAGCCACAAGATGGCAGATGTTACCATAGTCAACAAATCGTTACTTGAAACTGGATATAAGATCACTTAAAATTATGATTCTGCAGAAACGTAAAACCCTATTGATTCATTCTCCCCACCCTTCCTGCTCTTGAAGAACTCATTTTGGGGGCTTGAAAAAGCTTTCCCATATACATATACAAGATGGATAATTCAGAAAGCAATTCTGTAGTCCTATCAGCTCCATAAAACATAATATTAAATCACAAAACTGAGTAACAAATTGCATTTAAATGACTATGAAGATGAATGGCAGTGTTGTACTGGAATGTTTTCAACCAAGGCCAAATGGATAACCACATTGATCGTGCATTTTATATCTTACAAAGAAGGACATGATGTAAATAAAGATCACAAAGCAAAGCTAATATATTTACTGCTATGTTAAACTAGTTACAGAGGATTAAAAAAACCTTTTTGATAAATTGTTTGTTCATTTGATTACTATGTTGGTTATTTGTTCCTTATATGTCAGTTGCAATTGAAGAGTACAGTGAGGAGGAAGAAACCTGAGCTGTTAGAATAATGTTATCTGCAGAGTTTAATGCTGTCCCCCACATATAAAGATTGAATTTTAGAATCTGCTAGAGATTATAATTCTAACTAATCAAACTCCTTTTGTGGGGTTGCACATTATAATATTTATATTTTGACTGATAACTTGAAATATATTTAAGCAAAAGGTGAACCTTTGTAAGTTTGTAATTTTCCTAAGGTAATGCAAGTACTACTCTTCACTTATGATAAAGGGATTTTTTTTTTCTGTTTGACTATTTTGTGAACATTTTATTAAGATAGCTGTGGATATCCTGCAATATTTCATACCAGGTATCTTTTTTTTTTTTTTTTTGGAAAATAGTGAAAGAACAGGAATTGATTAGCATGATGGGAAATTTTGGAACTTGAAAATAAAGAATCAAGGTCAGAAAATAAACCATATTCCCTACTGGAATTCTGCATCACTCCTGACACTCTTTCCTCTCTCATTCCATGATATGTACTCTCTCCTTTATTTTCCTCCCATCTCTCTGCCTGCCCCTTCTCAGTCTCTTCCCTGGGTTCCTCTTCTGTCTCTTCTTTAATTCTTTGGCTCTCAACATTTTTCTTATCACTCTTCACTATTGCTTTATAAAATCTTGAGCATTTAATTCATTACCAATGTTTCAACTGCAATGAATAACTAGTTTCTCTCCAAATCCTATGAGTCAGCATCACATAGGGGTTATATTTAAGCTCTGGCATTAGACTGCTTAGGCTCAAAGACTAGTTTGACCACTTAATGGTTAGGTGATATTGATAAATTACTTAACCTCATTGTCTTAGTTTCCTGTCCTGGAATTTTAGAATGATAATAACTCTAAATCTTGTTGTTAGGTTAGAATGAAGCAATTCATGTAATGGGCTTAGCACAGTATCTGACAAAAAGTAAGGACCTAATAAATATTCCATCTAGGGCTTTTTCTCAGAAAATAGAGCCATATACAATGGAGATCCTCACTCTGATGTCTTACAAAAAGCTTAAGATGATAGATCCAAATCTTACAAATCAATATATTACCATCCCTAAATCAGTTTCCCCAAAGATGGGAAAACTTTACTGTTTAATATTTAATATTGTAGAGTTTTTCCTCTAAAGTCAAGAGCAAAGGTACCTACCATATCCATAACATTTATCATTATGTTGCAGATACTAACCAGTGCAATTAGACATGAGAAAGCAATTACTGAAATATGAATAGGAAACAAAGAAGTAAAACTATGTTTATTAAGAGAGGACGTGATTATACAGCTGGAAAATTCAAAAGAATCCATGGAAAAATACAATAATTAACAAGAGAATCTGGATAAAATAACAGGTTATAAAATGAGGATATAAAAATTAATAGCATATGTATGTATATATGTTTACAAACCTATACATAAACATATATTTGTATAAATAAAAAACAGTTTGAATATATAATTAAAGAGAATACCCCATTTATGATAGAAAATAAAACAGAAAAAAATACTTTAACATAAAGTTAACAAGAAATGTCCAAAACTTATATGAGCAAAACTGGAAATTTCTTTTGAAAAAAATAGATCTTAATGAATGGAAAGACATATCAATTCTGGGAGAGAAAGAAAGGCCAACATCATGAAGATGTCAGTTTTCCCTAACTTAAGGGCTAGGAGAAAAAGCCACTTACAGTACTGTAAAGCCTCTGTAATTCAAACAATACTATATTAGCACATGAATAGGAAGACAAACCGAAGGAAAAAGAGAAAATCCAGAAATATATCCAATTGCATATGGAAATTAATATACATTATATGTGGCATCACACATCACTGGGTAAAAGATGGACTTTTAAATAAATGTTCTGATTACTGGGTAGCCATATGGAGAAAAATTAAATTGGATCCATTTCTTACACCATAAGCCAGGATAAATTCCCAACAGATCAGATATTTAAATCAAAGGTATAAAAAAGCACCATGCATATATTTGAAAAAGCACTTGTGAATTCCTTTATAATCAGGGGATGAGAAAGCATTCCTAAATATGACTCAAAATCTAGAAGCAATGAGAAAAAAGATTGACAAATTTTATCCGATAAAAATTAAAAATTTTTTCACGGTAAAAATACCATATCAGACACAAAGTAAAAAATACAAATAAGAGCCTGGGAAAAAATATTTGCACAATATACAGTGAAATGTGTAATGATGTATAATACAAAGGTATCTCTAATATATAAAGAGCTTCTAAAAGCTG